TTAGACTTTTTGATGATTCTCTAACCTTTTAGACCATTAAATTGACATTGATCGACATACTGACAAGCTCATGAGATTTACATTGCATGATGACAATCATTATATTATTTGTGTTTAATCTGCATGATTACAGATATTACAATCACTTTGACACCTTTTCTTTTCCTTTAGTTAGTTTCTTATTTCGTCGCGTTTTTTGTTGGGCAGTAACTTAATCTTTAATACATTTCATGGTTTATATCATGAACTGATTGTAATTTAGATGGTGGTTGGAGGTAGTCAACAGGAAACCCTGGACCCGGGTTTCGTGCTACTTGGCACTCGTCAGCAAGGTGTACCTGTAATCTTGAGGGAACTGATGCTCCCTGACGGATTCGATCTCGTGTCACCCAGCTTCACAGTCAGAGACGTTACCACTGAGCTATCCGAGCCGTGACTAACCTCCTGTAGGACTAAGATGTAATCACAATTGATTGATCGCTGGGCGGTGATCAATGTCATGCTTGTCATGATCGATAGCATTCGATCTGCACTAATAAGGACTAGACAAGCATGACATTGATCACCGTCCAGTGATCAATCAATTGTGACAGATTGTAATTACGCAACACTTGAAAAACAAGAAGCATTAGACAATTATTTTATTCTAGTATGTTACTACTCAGCAATGAGCATTCACGTTCCCATAAGGAATTGGGCCTAAGACTTTCATTCCTAGCTCTAAAAGAGCTAATCTCTAGACCATAAAGACGGCATCCAATATTTAAAATTTTTAAATCTAACCATTTCATGATGTTGTGCATCCATCTTCCAATGTTATTGGTCTATAATTACCTCGAATTTGACCTAATTGAACTTTATAGATCATGAACTTTCACAAAAATTTGTAGTGTCGGTTACTATATTGAGCCCATATAACTTACTCCAGTTTCTGGACAGGCCATTTTACCCATCATTCTTGAGCTACATTTTAACCTTTTTAGTTGTTGGCTTATCAACCTTGACTGTTTTTATGTGAGCGTATATGTGTGCACTTCTTGTCCTATTCATCACATGTCCGTAGCTTATTTTAGTCCTGCGTATAAATATCACTTGACGCTTGACTAAATGGAGTTGGGTTACATGCCTTCTCCAACACGCATCATTTCGCTTCGCTCTCATCTATTCGCTTCATTACTCTCATTTACTATCCAGATCAGTAAGTGTACAAAATATATGTATTCAATACTTCATTCTCGTATTTGACTTATTTTAATTCCGTTATTTACTAATGCGATTTAAGTCGATGATTATATAAGAGGATTGACGATATGTATATTTCAATAGGAGGCACCAAACGGATATGCAACATATAAATCATTTGATTAATGTGAGGGCTGGGATGCTTTCCAGGTAGCGAAACCGAAGTAGGTGGTTTTCTTAGGAGGCCACACTTGGAGCCGAGACCTAAAGGTCTAATCCACAATGCAGTGGAGCAACGTTAGGAGATGCAGTCCCATGTTAGCCACTGATTAACAATTGGTCCATACGCCCATGTACACCATCGGTTTGGAATGAGGGTTTTCCGACTTCCATAGATGGACTCTCCATATCCACTAACCCGGTTAAAGCGCTGGATATTCGCATTTCGTTCTTTGAATTTCGTAAACAACAACCCCGCCTCGAGAAGGCAGTGAGTAGAACTTCCGTGGTAGTGGTTGTATTCACATAGTCACTTAAGAGCATTTCGAGTGTGAGGGAGAGTTGACTCTCCCCACTCTCGGTCGTATCAAGTCATTTGGGGGCCAATAACAATTATTCATACAATCTAACTGAACTCAGATCCCAGATCACTAAATACTCTAGAAATTACCATTGGAAATTAGTCACTAACAAGTATCTTATTATTAAAATATTAGTATCTAGGATTAGTGGAAATGATTGAATTTCATGTTATACATTATGGACATATTTATAACTGATCAACAACATTTTGTTTTTCAAGTTTATTATACTTACACTTATAAAGATGATATATCTATTAACAACAACAACAACAACAACAAAACTGAAAAAGAAAACGGAACTGATTATGTAATGAGATTAATAGTGTAGTTTTAGCAAATACCAAAAACTCTATGCAAATCATGTAAAGTACATTGGAAACGTATTTCATTTACGAGTGTTACATTCTTCTTTCATTTTTTTCTTTTTGGTAGTTTTTTTAAATTTTTTTATTTGTACTTTATACATAAAAAATAGTAAAAAAAAACTATAAAAAAAGGGGGACGGGGGTCAATATTCAATTAATACTTTCAATTAATATCCTAGGTAACGTTGTGTTCTTTTTCATTTCATTACACAACACACAAAAATACTTTACAAGTCAAATCATTCAACAAAGAAGAAATATTAATAGTTGAGATTATGAGTCAATTAAAGCTAGATCACTATGGAAAATCTGTGAGCATTGGATGACCGTTTCTTTCTATTTTAGGACTCCTCAACAGTGCGCATACATAATCCTACTTCAAGAGATTCCAATCAAGGTTCTATCAGTCTTGCCTATGAACACTTAACCTCTAGACAACTGGGCCGGCCGACCGACCGACAGGCATCCAACGTTGTCAATGTTTAACTTCAACTAATCCACCAAATTTAGTGACACATCCACCATTGTCTTTAGTGAGTTACTATCTCACAACAGACCCAGTTGAACTCTACTAATTACTGCTTCCCACTAGAACTCCATGATATACCTCTTGAAGCCAGTCATTAGTGAGCATTTGTTTATTCATCTGAGAATGTATTTTGTGGATATTCTAGTAATTTCAACAGTTGAAATCATGAGTCCATTGAAGCTAGATCACCATGAAAACCAGGAAGCATTGGATAATGGTTTCTTCCCAGTGTGGGACTCTTCAGCAGTGCGTATCCACGATTCCGCCTAGCGATATTCGAAATAAGTATTTTTATTTTTTTAGACAAAAAGAATTATTATTATTATTTAGTAAAATTATAACTTTTTCACTGTTTAATTAAAGTAATAAGATAGAACATTGTGCTATTTTATGCTGTGTGGTTGATAGTAACTACCAACAAATTCTAGATATAAGTTACATGCTAGCTGATTAAGTACAGTTACTAAGTTGAAGAAACTGACACTATTCTATGAGATATAAACCCATGTCATATAGTTAATAGAATCCGAAAAATATAACATTAGTTACAACACAACTCCACAAAACTATAACTGTAACCCAAGTGTTTTAATAGTTATGTTTGTAAATATATCACTAGGTGAACCCAATAGCTAATCTTTTCCCTCTCAGCATTGGAGATATAGTTCACTACCGAGAACCAATTAACGCGAAACTTATATATGTATTTGATTGAATACATAGGTCTTGATGTTCTCATTAGTAAAGATTGATGAACTGATTGACAGGAATTTTACTTAACACTACCAAAGATCATACATTTCACACCAAAATAATTGTCTAATGTACTGTACTGTACTAGACTGTACTGTGTTGTTTTCTTGGTGACGATAAGAAAAGGAAACAAGACTCAGTTTAAATACTAACTAGATTGTGATGTTTCAAATAATCGAAATATGTTCACTATCATTTTGAATGAGTTAAGCTGACAGTTTAAAGTAAATGGGTAAAATTATTAAGTCGTGTACATAATTAAGGTAATTCAAAGCTTCAATTACAAAAAGATAACTGTAATTAGCCCCCAAATACCCTGGTACGGCCGAGAGTGGGGAGAGTCAGCTCTCCCTCTTGAAATGCTCTCAAATGGCCATACGCATACAGCCACTATCAGGGAATTCTTACTCACTGCCTTCTCTTGGCCGGGGTGTTGTTTACGAACTTCAAAGGACGAAAAGCGAATGTCTGGCGCTTTAACCGGGTTGGTGGATATGGAGAGTCCATCTATGGGAGTTGGAAAACCCTCATTCCAAACCATTGATGTACATGGGCTCCAGTAACCTGAAGGAACAAATGGCATATGAACCAATCGTTGGTCACCGACTACCATGGGACTGCATCTCCCTACGTTGCCTCATTGCCTTGTGGATCAGACCTTCAGGTCGAAGGCTCCGGATGTGGCCTCCTAAGAGAACCACCTGCTTCGGTTTGGGCCCTTGGGCAGTATCACAGCCCTCACACATATCAAATGAGATTTATGTGGCGCATATATATTTGGTGCCTCTTTTATACCAATATCTATGTGTTAAGATAAATAAATAATTCAAAGCTTCAATTACAAAAAGATAACTGTACTTCAGTTAGTTTATTTATCAGTATAAATAATCAGATTACATGGAGATAGTGAGAGGATGAAATGAGCAAGATACATAACAAGTAAGTGAATAGCATAGTAGAACATAAAGATGAAAACAAAATTCTCAGGACTTAGAATTCTAAACTAACATTTCAATATCAGATATAATGTAAGATAATGAATGGAATGTATCTATTCCACTGATACCAGTTTGGATACATAACACTGATAATCTTCAATAACCGACAATGAATATTATTCAAAGTCTAACTGTGAGTACGGTTCACAAGTGAACTTGAGGAAGCTGTAAGAAGCTCGGAAAGAGCCGAAGATATTCCATACAATCACCTTTTCGAATAATACTCTAGAATCTCTGCATGTAGATTCCTGATTGGACAATGCTAATAACCCCCTGTGTGTGGATTGGATAACTATAATGATGATTTCGTTTTTACTAAAAACTATAAACACCTGAGAGTTTTGTGCTATAATTTGACACCGTCTGGAATAACATTCCTTTCACTAGACTTCTGTCTTCTCATTTGCGACTTGCGAGGGCTTTAGCGTTCTAGTGCTCACGTTAGACGTAGTATATCAAGAATATAAGTTCTAGATATAACAGTAACCAAGAAGTACATGAATCAGTTGATTAGTCTATGAGTGTAAAGAGCAAACTCACCTACTTGATTCAATAATCATAATCAATAGCAAGTTAATAATGTCCTTACCTCTTTTTGTAATCGTCGAAATTGTATGACAGGAATTTTCGGAGTTGATGACGACGATGACGATGACTGTATTGTTTCAACAGATTCTGCTGAAAATGATTCATTTCCATTATCAATGAGAGATTTCTCTATATTTATTTCATCTTCTTGAGTTTTTGTTAAAACATTACGACGTTTCCGTGAATAAACTATATCAATATTCATAGAGGAATAAAAAGATAACGAAAGATGAAAGTAAACAAGCGTAAATGATATGAATAAGTGGTATTTACTTTAAGGTAAATAACGATTCATTAAAATCTTAGTAGTTCATTAATTAATCATTAACATGGCTCAGAACCACAACCTATTCCAAGCGTAATATCCATAGATTCAAAAGAATACGATATCATTTATTATCTGGTAATGTCAATCAAGCAATGACTACTACTAGTACTGTGGTGTGTACTACTTATATTGACATAAATAGTATATGAAGTTAGTCATGAACAGAATGTCTGGCAGCAGAGAGACAGGAGGATCAAACAGTAAAGAATGGGAACGAGATGCAGTTTGTCCCCACTCGTCTTCTTATTCACTACACAACTACTACTACTACGACTAAACTGTGGTGTATGCTACTTATATCGACAGAAATAGGTGGTATGTGACACCTCGTCGAAAGTGGAAAACCTGCCAGCAGATGGTTGGGACAGAGAGTAATGGGTATCGGAATGAAGAAAGAATGAAGTCTGAGATAGTTAATGGACATTTTGCAAATGAAGAATTGAACGTATAGTCTTTACAATTTACCAAATAGCTTTGTAGTTGTGGGCTAGAGTAAGTTTGGTCGTTTCCACCTGTGCTTCAGTTCATTATGCTACTAATCTAGTGAACAAAGATTTCAGGTGACGAAAGACCAACTTATCGTTTAATGCAAAGTTGCAGGATGATTTCATAAAGTATGATAGCCATACATTAAATACTTTATTTGCAAATCTCCCCTTTGTTGCCCTTTAAATGCTTCATGATTCGTTCAATTCTGTTATTATTACAATGGCTCTCTGTTTGTATTCTTATTATTTTCAATTCGATTTTCTCAATCTTCTTCTGCCAGGTATTCTACTTCTGATTGCTGTTACAGACTACTTATATCCGTCAACATAAGTAGCATACACCACACCATTACTACTATCAAATATTAGACAGTGCATAATCAAATAAGATTATCGTGTTGAATATCTAAGTGGTGGAAACGGTATTACATGTAATATTGATATCACTGATAATAAGAAACCGACTAGGCATAGATAATCTGAATCGAAATAAATGAATGAATTAGGAGAATGAAAGATTTACATTAATTTCAAAACTGAAAATCTAAATGATGGCAAGTACTGAATGAATCCACACCATTGTGGTTAACTTTAAGCTATGTTATCTGATATCTTCAACGTTCGGTTATTGTAATTATGCATTTTGAGGCGGTGGAGAAGATTTGTAGTTTATGTGGATGATTTTGGTGTAGTTTTGTTCTCTGAGATGGATGGTTTGGTCGTGGAGCTTTCATCGTTCTTCTGAACGACATCATCGGCACAAACTTCAGATAGAAGTGAAGGGGGAGTCCGCTTCGTGTACACGAACATCAATTAGCAGTCAAACGCCATGATATTTCCTCACTTATGTCAATACACGTGAACAACTGCGGACACTCATTTGATCGGAAAAATGTAGAAATCTTAGACACAGGAAAGTCCAGAAACACCAGAGAATTTTTAGAAGCCTGGCACTCAGGTCAATCAGCAATCAACAAGCATATTGAAATCAATCCAATTTACCAACCAATCAGGAAAATCATGCACAAATATAGGAACAAAAATCAAACCAATGGGAGACAACCAAAACAAAGAAGTAAACGATGACAGATTTAAGGTCAATAAGAACCAATCAACATCGAGGTGTACAGAACAAGCTGTGAAACGCATATGGAGAAATTCGAACACTTCACTTCTATCTGAAGTTTGTGCTGATCATGTCGTTCAGAAGAACGATGAAAGCTCCACGACCAAACCATCCAGCTCAAAGAACAATACACCAAAATTATGCATTTTGCACCTATCCAAACGGTTTATGTGAACAGTTATTTGAATTCACGTTCAGATTCTGTATTTTAGTTTGTCAGGTCCTAGCTTTATTTTAGCATTATCCTACAACGGCCAATATCGCATATCAAAGCATGTGGTAGTTTAATAGTCAGTTTTATACTGTTCACCTAGTATGTATCTATCAGTGATGATGATCATCCGACTTATGGGAAGTGAAAACTAGCAGAGAGAATGAATCAAATACTATATACTAATAAAATCTAAGGAATGTTGTACGTTTATTTCATTGCTATAAGTACTAATCAGTAGTAATGAACTTATAATATTCAAGGTACTTTCAGTGAAGTTTTTTTAAAAGAAGTTCATCAATTAACCGTAGAATGAAATCGAATCAAGAATAAAACAGGTAATAATCAGTGACACCAAATGACCATGTTATTCATACTATAAAATCTAATGGTCTGAAATATATTCAATGTTTGGTATAAAAGACATAGGATATACATTACACAAATCATCAAATTGCATCACGAGGCAAGCTCCAACTTAGAATCCTAAAGGGAAGCGAAAAAGAGGAAGGTCGAAGAACACATTATATTGGGTAATAGAAGCAGATACAAAAAGGATGAATAACAACTGGAAAGAGTTGAAAAGGATTGCCCAGAACAGGGTTGGATGGAGAATGCTGGTGAGCGGCCTATGCTCCTTCACGAGGAGTAACAGGAGTAAGTAAGTTAGTAAGTAAGTTGGTATAAAATCTGAAATTTATCAATTTTATCTCGTAGTAACAGTGGTCACGTGTTACATACTACTAAGAAATTTTGAACTTTAACAAAATTCCCCCCCCCCAATACAATTTGATATTTAATGATTTTCTATTATGGATCTCAATCTAAGATGAAGTGAACTTAATATTACTGTTCTGTTATATGCTTACTCAATGTTTGACTCTGGTGAGCTGATTGGATATGTTTTTGATTGATTGTTACCCACATAATATTTACAATTATTGATTAGAGAAGTTGAATGAGATGGTGCAAAATCGATGATTGTAGTGCATTCATTGATTCACTATCATTCTCTATGATTTCTAGCCCTTTTGCCTCAGTAATTTCCTTGCTTTGTTGTATTCATATAAGGTGTTACAGATTGAATCGATACACAAGTATCCTAGATTACAATATCAATGCAACTGTATGTTCAAGGTATTATAGAACAGTTTCTAAACTGCAAGCTGATACAACGAAAACATGACCCTATGGTCTAGTAATTTGGTAGGTATCATCATTACGGTTGAACTTGAGTATTAATTATAAAGTTAATAATAATAAAATAATTGTATTTTTGTGAAATTCCAATGAATAGAAATTTGAATTTCTGACGTTTCGTGACCTAATTGAGTTCACTTCTTCAGAGTAAATAAATAATAATCTGAACAATAGTTTATTAGCTATTAACTAAAATGGTCGGTTTTAAGCTTGATCTTTCTCATTGTTGAGAAGTCCTATGATAGGAAATAAAGCAGTTGTTTAGTGCTCCATAGTTTTCGGTAGTAATTAGACTTAAATCAGTCAATAACAAATAGATGCATTTATTAATTTTACTGGTGCATCCAGGCACGGAAATAGTATACGTCAAACAAATAGAGAGATAGACAACATTACAAAGAAATATAACGGAAGAAGGAAAGATAACTAAAAGAAAAGAAAGAAATAAGTAAACAGAATTACTATATAACGAAATACAAGCAAGAGAGACTTCTTTTAGTGAAAGAAATTGCTGTCACTTCTATGAATGTAAAAAGAACCCACACTAAATCTGAATCATAAGTGACTGTTGCTCTTGAGTCGAATCATCTCTAGAACCACGATGGAGGAGTTGTGATGCTCTGTTAGATATCAATGCTATATAATTTTACTTCAAGCCTCGATGCATTCTCATATATACTGACCACCTTTTCACTTTCACCACCCTCCATCTAAACGCAGCCAATCAATGTAAAATATAGGAGCCGATAGGATAATATTTGTTGAATATATCCAAGTTACCTACGACAGTAAATTTCTTTCATCAATATGTACATAATTAGATGATTGTCTAATTCATATGAGAAGGGTTTTTGTCGATATTATAGTAATTTTAATAGTTGAGATCATTAGTTAATTGAAGCTAGACCAACATGGAAAACCTGGAAGTACTGGACGGCCGTTTCATCTTAGTATGGGACTCCTCAGTAGTGCTCATCTAAGATGGTGATCTAGCTTCAACGGACTCATGATTTCAACCGTTGAAATTACTATAATATCCACAAAATACCTTCTCATATGAATAAGCAAATGCTCACTAATGACTGGCTTCCAGAGGTATATCATGGAGTTCTAGTGGGAAGCAGTGATCAGTGGAGTTCAACTGGGTCTGTTGTGAGATAGTAACTCACTGAAGACAATGGTAGATGTGTCACTGAATTTCATGGATTAGTTGAAGTTATACATTGACACCGTTAGATGCCTGTCGGTCGGTCGGCCGGCCCAGTTGTCTAGAGGTTAAGTGTTCATAAGCAAGACTGATAGAACCTTGATTGGAATCTCTTGAAGTAGGATTATGTATGTGCACTGTTGAGGAGTCCCAATATAGGACGAAACGGCCATCCAATACTTCCAAATTTTCCATAGTGTTCTAGCTTTAATTGACTCATAATCTCAACCATTGAGAGTGTTTAATTGTTCATTTCTATACATTTTGTTACAATATACCAAATCTATATAAAAATAAATTGATTTGTTTTACATTTACCAACTTGTTTGTTTGTTTTTCCAAATTAACCCACTTTACTGCTGAAACAAGAAAGAGTGTGTGTGTGAGAGAGAGAGAGTGAGAGAGAGAGACAAAAACAACCCACTTGATATCGTATGAAAAACCATCATCATTTGAATGATAATGTACATCGTTGAATAAAATAAAACAGTTTAGAGAAAAAAAGAAGGAAAAGAAAAAAAGAAAAAAAAAGAAAAACATAACCTAGTCGTCATATAAATCAATATGATATACAATGAAATCAAAGTGATAAATTCATTTGACATGATGTAATTTCTCAATATCCATCG